AGCAGACGTCAAATAAAGAAACCGCATTTAAAATCGCGTGGCAACGAGATACCCTCGTTCGATCGCTGAAAAGACTGACATAGAAAAAATAATGAGAAGAAAAAAAATAGTGTTATCGATCTCTTTTACAAAAAAAAATTGCATTTACATATTAAAGCAGCTAGACAGTTACGGAATAATGAAATACTAATTATCGTCCTCCTGAGAGAATTATGAAATATTAATTATCATTTTCCTGAGAGAATAAATATCACCGAAATGATTCGTGATTCCTATTCTTTTACAGAGCTCAAATATAAATACTTCTTTATCGCAAGCTCATCGCGATTATATTGAACGCGTTTTCCATTTTGGGGCGCATCCGAACGAATCCGAGAGATCTCAAGAAGGCCGACCCATTTCGCGAGAAAGAAGTGTGCCCGAGAGTCACTTGAACTACATTCACGACATAGAGTCACGAGAAATGATTTTCTTGGCGTTGTATATCGTTCCGTCGCGTACCCTTTCTAGCGGTTTTTCACCCCGGCCGAAATATCATTCGTACGCAGTATGCACTTCTTCCATGCTTGTTCCGGCCTTCAACGCCTTTTGTAAATCTTCGCGACTCTTCGAAAAAGCGCGCAAGAGAGATAAAATCATGACTATTAGTTTCTCGCGAGAAACAGACGTTACAAAAATTCACTGCAAAAATTTGTATGTGATAGTGCTGTAATTACAAATAAAAATTAAAAAAAAAAGTGCGAGGAAGAAAAAGTAATCTCGGCTGCGTTCGAAGAGTGCACCTCAGAGCACTATTGCATTCTATCTTTCTAACGTTCATTAAATATAAAAGAGTAGATATAACTGATGGCTTTCCAGTCAGAGTCATAAGAGGGAAAAAGATATTATGTTATCTCGCTATGACTATAACAAATTAACAAAAAATGTCAAACCAATTAAGATTATGAGATTCTAACTAAGGCCCGGTTTTATAATTCACGGTTAACTTGATTTAATTGAAGTTCAACTCGCTTTATTTTTTTCTAATCTAAAAGTGCCTTTTCATGCTGACGCTCGACGCTCATTTTTGGCGTCAAAATTACGTGATCATAATTGGTTTGCACGAAAAGCGGCATATCAAGTTTAACGTCAATCGTATAATTCGTATATATCTAAAATGTTCAGAACAAAATAACAACAGCCTTTGACGCTGAGAAAATCCAGCTTCTTTTTTTTGACGCTAGCGTCAAAGTCGAAGTCACACGTGATTACCAAAAATTCAACATGTTGATTTCTTTACTGCTTACGTCTTACTGAGTTTTGATTAAGCTTTTCTGTGTGCCGTAGCTTTAACGCTAAAACGAGCGTCTCATGAATTTACACCTTAAGAATTAGAAAGAAATAAAGAATTAGAGAGAGATAACAGTAAGTTAAACCGAGATTAAAGTTAACATTTGTGAAACTGGAAACCTAAGAGGATCTCCAGAAAATGACGTAATTGGTAATAGCTTACTGAACACAGCTCTCACATGTAGTCGAAAGAAAGTTTCTTGTTTAAAAGCACTTTTATACATATAAAAAAAATTGAAATTAAAGTAAATTTTTTCTACGCAGTCATTTTATCCGTAACTCTTGTATTCTTTACAATGTTCTGTTGTACAAAATCTCCATGACATTTCCAGTTTATTTACAAAATATCTCGAGATATTCGAGGCTTGACGCGTATATATAGTATGAAGTAGGTATAGATCTAATCAAATAATAAACGGGAACATTTCTAATAATTTATATTAATCAGATCATAATCACGGAACGTTTGAAAGCGAAAATTAATTTCAGAAGGATTAACTGAAACGAATAAATAGAAGATCGTTGCACTTCGAGAAAGATGCTGGCATGTTTCGCGATCATTCGTCAGCAGGCTTCGTGCCGTCAAATTGCAGACTTTCGCACGTATCCACGCGAGTCTGTAGGTAGGACAGAACCTGCGAAGGTGCTGCAGGCTTATATATATATCGCCGTTCTGGCGCAGCTCGCGGCCATACTGCCTCCGTTTGACGCCCAGAGGAGTAGAGATCCGCGACGCGAGGAGGAGGAGGAGGAGCAGGGAGAAATGATTAATTACGAGGGAGTGACGCGCAAAGGAACGGAGTGGGACCAAACGAAAAGCGACGATGGAACGACGAGCCGGTGCGTTCCAAGGGGTCACGGATGAGCGTATCTCGTGAGTTGTAGAAACTCGGCCAGTTAGAGAGTTTCGCTTTATCGTCGATTCCGTGTAGTTCAATTTCAACATAATTTGAATTTATCAAATACTCGACGTAAGAGAGCGTGCAAAATCGATGCGAGAATGGGCCAGCTATTGTTGCGTCTGTCAATGTATCCATGTATCAATGCATCAAGAATTGACTCACGGTTAATTATATTACTCAAGATTTAAATGATCTCACATAAACGGAGGACAGCTCCAATTAAATTTTTACTTTTAATATCTGTTACAAACGCACGTCCGAAACGCCAAAATAATAAAGGTTTATTTGATTTTTTTGAAAAAAGTATCCATTCGACCGCGCAATTGATGTCATTTTCCATCAAAAGCTGTTCGTAGGATCAAAGCGCTTTCGTGGATCGTCAAATCCATGGGTAGAATGGAAAAAGCAGGAATCGCGAATGCTGGTAAAAAATTCGTCTAACGGGAGGGGAAGGAGGGGAAGTGTTTTTGAACACGGTCAAACATATTACACCGGCCGGTTGTCCGATAATGTGTTTCTGATTGCCAGCCACGGCTATATCTATACAGAATCCCAACGAAAATCCAGAGGTGGATATTATGTCCGTTCTTTGTATGAAATATTCATTCGAATTACGAGGTTTTTATATCTCTACGTATACATCGATTTTTCATGCTGATTTTTATGTTGATTTTGCATAACATGTCCGTTATACTAGCATAGTTGAGAAAAAGCATTTCAACTTCACGGTTCGCCGAAAAAAGATTAAGAAAGATATTGACATGGAATAATACACTCTTTAATTAATTGATATCAAACTATAACGGTAAATATAATAAAATATATAATCACGCGACTTTTATTTATTCGACACGAAATGAGAGGAAGTAACGAAAATCAGAGGCAGAATTAGAAACATTTCGTGAAACTGCATTTGTTCGATCTTGTATCGGATCGATTGACGTCAGAATGAACTCTCGATTGAATCTCGCACGGGAAGAGCGATACGCGCGCATCGACGAACACGTGTACACGCACAGGCAATGTAGGCGAAGTGCGCCAGAAGGAAGATCGGGATCAGTAGACGGCAGGATGGATGGCTGTGGAAGCGTATCAAATTATCGGTTATTAATAACGCCGCCTGATCCCTCTCCCCCATCTCTCCTGTTCGTCGTTTTACGCAGGAACAGTTGCCCACACCCACGTCTCGCAAGGTCGAAGATCCTCACCTCGGCTCGCAATGACTCGATTAATAACGCCTCGTCGACGATAGCGCTTAATACGTATCCGGTCTAGAGCGGTCCCTATATATAGAGCTACGGGGTCGTCGTTTAACGACGACGTCGCTGCAGCGAGTCACGTAAGCTCGCTTTGATTTCGCCGACAACTTTATACTTTCGAAAACGTCCGAATATCTTATAGATACCTCACGAGCAAAAGAAAACAAAAAATCGGTTCTTATAATTATACATGCAGCAAGTGGATACCGATATGTAATCATTAACTCATCGATAATCAGAATTTCATAAATCGTCCGTTGTAAGTAGAAAAAATAAGTCACGATAAAGGAGTCTATGCGTTTTAGGAGCGTTGGGGAACATGAGGGATTGTTGGATTTATCTCTTTTTTATTTAATTTCACTTGCTGAATCCGAAAATCAGTGTTAAAATAATCCTCGTATCTGAGAAAGATAATTTTGTAGATCTATTTTAACAGAAAGCAACAGTTAATTTTATCATTTTATCGATCTATGTCTACAAATTTCTCCTTGTTTTCGTCTTGTTTTTTTATTTATTGGAAAATCCCTCTCGCAGATGTACACATTTTGTACACATTTTTGCGAAAAAGAAAACGCACTAACACAAAAAATGCGTTTTGATTCTCATTCCTTAAATAATTGTGAGCACTCTGTCTAGATATACCATGACAGAGATACCTACGCCTGGTGACATGCTTTATCTTCCAAAATATTTACCTCAAAGGAAACGCGATGACACTCAATGTCAGACGACACGACGCTAATGTTAGGAACGATTGCATTCTAAAATCTAACTTACGATAATACTGAATTTACATTGTTTCTAATAAATATATCTTATTATAATTCTTCTAATAAATATTATCTTAATAATTCTTATTTACACTTTCTTATTTATAATTCCGATTATATACTTATGCAATACATTATTTTTAAATTTTATATTAATTAATATTTCAAATAAGGTATTCTTTTTTTTAATTGTTACTAGAATAATCCTTTAGTTTCAAAATGTGTGATAAAACTACACAACATTTCCTTTCACAAAAAGCTCGAAATTCTTTTGTAATATCTAAAGATAAAAAATACTGCAAAAGATGTTATAAATCATATAAAAACAAAAATATTATTAAGAATTTATTTATTCAAGAGTGCAAGTATAAGAGTTACGACTTCAATAATAATTGATTTTAATAGAAAAAAAATTATTTTTAAAACAAAGCAAAATTTGCAGACATGGCTCAACAAAATGATAAAATCAATCATTGTTTTCTTCTGTTAATAACTTAAAATTATATTTCCTATACTAAGATTATTTTTTAACTATGATTTTCGGATTTAGCAAGTGAAATTAAATAAAAAAAGAGACGAATTCAATTATCCCTGCTCCCTAAATCACTTAAATAAAAGGTATTAATTTAAACTTTAGATAATATTTAGATAAGTAATAGAAAATATCTGAAAATTGAAAAAATAAATTGAAAGTATTTAAAAAGGTCATATAACTAAAAAGAAACTTTTGGTGCACTTACCCATCTATCTTTCCTCTGTCGAAAGAGCATCGAGATACCTGCAAGCAAAACAAAAATCCAATATCAAGTTCAGGTACTTCCGGTACGTGCGTCAGACATTTCTTATCTACGATGCAGTTGTTTCGTGATGAAAACGTGAAAAGTAAGGTAGGTATCGATTAAGCGTCGTCACGACGACGCCTATCGTTGAGGATTATGACGTCATTGGTGCCCTATTCGCGGAAGTGAAGAGACCTCCCCTCCTCCCCTTCTCCCTTCTTACGTAATCCGTCTGTTAAAATATCAATCTCAACGTTTCGCTCTTTGCACAAGGTGCCGCGCGGGGATAAGGAGGGAGCCGGGCCGCCTGTTCCCGATCTGCACAGTCGGGCTTTCCTCTTCTCTTCGTCTGGACGAGGTCATCAAAGATGCAGCAGCAATCAGCGGAGCTAGTCGAGCGAACGAGCTCGAGCGGAGGACCGACCAGTACCCGAGGGATACACGCGGATTTTCTTTGAACGTTTAAATTGATCCCCCTTCTGAAAAAAATTGCCCACCGGTGAACAGCCCTTTTGAGAAGAGAGCGGAGGTGTCGACTAACTGCAGCAGTCCCGAGCGCGTGCACGGTGTCAGATTGAATTCGAAAAATCGGCTTATCGCGATGGGGATACGACTTCAATCTTTTTGTACTTCGTAAATGGATGGTACATTTTTTGTCGTACAGTAATTTCGTAAACATGCTTCAAATTTATCAGTTTCATGCATTCATCATATACTCATACATATGCAATACAATATGAAAAAAAGAAAAGAACGTGCTATTAGAGCATTAATCATTAAAAACTTTAATAATTAATATTAAATTAGTGGGACAAACAAATGTTCAGGCCGCTATGGCGCAGGTAGTTCTCTATTAGCTGAATCGCTGTTGGAAACTTAACGGAGAAGCGACTCTCTGAATCGCATTCACGCGAGCAATAGCGGTACGCGCGAGATCGGCTTTCCGCACGAGGGCCTGCCGCGATTTACGTGCCCTTTAATAAATCCGTACGGAAGTTCAGTCGCAGGGAAAGACATCAAAGTCCTTCTGGCGTTGATCCTTAACGGGCAACGAGGCATGCGACGAGGTTGTCGTTGAAATCACTACCGCGAGACACCCTCGCGACCAGCCCTCCCCGCGCGGGAGAATCCCCGCGAGGGGGTGCCCACGCTACGCGCGAGCCGCAGGGGGCGGACTCTATTAAAAATGCAATATTCTCGTTAATCCACGCCGGTATGTAGCGCCGGCTAATTAGCGAGTGCGAAGGACGGAGAGGCACGCGCGGTACACTCTTACCAACGTTGTCATGCAAATACCCCATGGTGAGCGGCTATGGGACGTCACACACACGTATACATCTGCGCGTACAGGTACACAGAAAGAGGAAATGCGGCTTAGACAGAGAGAGAGACAGAGAGAGGAGAGACAGACAGAGAGAGAGAGAGAGAGAGAGAGAGAGAGAGAGAGGCACATATGTGCGTATGTATACGCGATCGTGGACGCGTTTATATGGCCGGGGATACATGGCGGGTATAGGCGGAGGGGTGAGCTATATCAATAAGCATCGAACGGCCACGAAGGACGGCAGGGAGCTGTTGATTAAGGGGTGAGTACAATGAGGAGATATCCTCGGAGAAGGGAATGCGTCTGCGATGGATCCGCATGAGGGGGCTTCCACCCACGTTCATCTCTCCTTCACCTTCTCACTTCCTCCTCCTCCTCCTCCTCCTCCTCCTCCTTCATCTCCTCCTCACCTCCCAACGCCTCGAACATGCGCGCGCGCGCGTTCCGCGTCTCTTCCTGTGTCTCTCCTCGATCTCATCTCCGGCGGCACAAGCAAGAGAGACCGTTATATGCCGATTACTGCCGATCCTGAACGGCACAATGGTCTCGTCTCTGTCATCGAGCGATGACTGGGTCACCTTGTCCCGTCACAAGTGGATTCCATAATAAAGTCGGATAGCGTTCTCGGAGCGCGTTCCGGGGGCGACGTTTCCCGATGACGCGTATAGCGAAATAATTACAAGTTAGCGAAATGGGTCAATTTTAAAATAATAGTAAATTATTTTACTGTAAGAGATTATCACATTATATATCTCATATACATATATCTGATATCTGATAATAAATTAATAGATTAACGTTTATCAAAGGCGCATATAGTTTCACTTGTACCCAATCTTTCCTATAATTTAGAGATAAATGCAATGTATATTCTCATTCTTTTGTCCCGTATTTTTGCAATTTTTGTCTGATTTTAATGTGGCATCTCGTTATTCGGCTACCAGCCCACATTTCGGGCTGAGCAAGCGGGGCATCCCTGAAATTAATATAGAGTAATGAAAATTGGTTATCGGTCCGAAGCGACTGTGCGTCCTGCAAACCGAGCGGTGTTACCAGCACTGGAGCGCGTAATATCGCATTGAAGATAGTCGGACGGCGGGCACGGGGCTCGGCACTCGGGTGCAAGGGAAGCGGATCACGTTGACACAAAGCGCCCGTAATCCGTTTATCTTCTCTCCGGGCACTCCGCGCCCACGTGTTACGCTTCGCGTTATTCGAGAATGAGAGAGAAAGAGAGAGGCAGTCACCCGTTCTTCCCTCCCTCTCTCGCTGACACTCGTTATTTCATAACAGAGTGAGCGACCGGTTTCTTTATCATCGAAGAATCGCCGATCGGATTGAAGGAAGGATCCTGGTACCGAAAATGATGACGTGCGACCACGAAGTATATAGATTCCGCTTGCATAATGCAATCCAAGAGAACGGAAAGAAATACAATTCTTTCATCGACACTTTTCGATACTAAACTTGATAGACGTTTGCAGCGTGTTGCAATGAGATCTCAGAGTCACACTTTGACACTGTGATATCAATTCGTAAGAGCGTTAATTGCACATTTACATAATCGTACAACATCAAAGGCAGAAAGAAGGAAAGAAACAATACAAGGTTTGTTTTGATGACACGCGGGAAAATATTGCGCTGCTGAATTGTCAAGGAGAAGAGACGGGTCGCGCTCATAAATCTGAAGGTAGAGCGTGCTCGCCGACGCGCATCATTGGCTGACAGATTTCTTCGCGGCGTCACACAGTTCCTCGATGTGCTCGCTCTCCGAGCTGTTTCCTTTAGAAAGATCCACGAGCCGGACGAGCCATCGCGACAGTATCCCCTTTGAGTAATGACGCCCGGGCCCCGGCGCAGGAATGCCGGGCGAGGGAGAGAGAGGAGGGCCCCTTTCATCGGTCGTTTCATTGGCTTCGAAGCAACACGGCCCTTCTCGCCTTCTTCTTCCGCCTCGCCTCCATCTCGCGGCCGTTTAAACGTGAAAACGGCTTAACGAATGACGGTGACGAGTCGTCGTCACCATCGCCGCCGCCGCCGCCGCCACCACCACCACCGCCGTCGTCGTCGCCATCGTCTCGCGTTTTGTCTCCATATCGTGAAACACATTTGTCTCGTACTCGGATGCCAGGCGGTTGTGAATCCCTTGCTGCATGGATTCTCCCCCTTCTCGCGCATATAATATATATTAATATATATAAATCTCTCTCGCGTTCCTTCCTGATTCTTCCCCTATTTCTCTGCCATACAAACTTGCACTTCTCTTTTCACTCCTTTCATCCGAATCCAATCCTGGTCAGGATTCAGATCGCTGAAAGACGCGACAAAGAGCCCCCTAATATATTACGCTTATTAGCGCCGAATATCGCATCGAATATCTTCCCGAAATTTTGTTAAAAAGCTCCGTGTATATAGAAGCGCTACGAAACGATGGAAGCGCCGTTTTATCAGAGGTTAAACTGCAGGTTCGAGAGTCGAGAAGAGCACCCTAAAACTCGTCGAGAACCCGGGACGTTCGCATTCATCTCGCGTGGAGAAACAATCGTTCCGTTCCGCGCGTTCCATTTAGTATTTCTCGCGAATGGCGCATTTCAGGGAGCGTTCCACGCACTGCACTTTTAATTGATCGATCGAATCGTTGTTTTGTCTATTGCGCGTCGAAACACGATTCGATTCGATCTCGTGTTCTGTGCTACAGTCTATCGCGAGGGTAAGAGACTTCACGATTTCGATCTAGTTTCAAGCGCGCCAAAGAACTTTGATATTTAGACTCATCGGCATATTGAAAATGTTGAAAGTTCGAAAGTTACCAAAAATCTTGATTCAAGAAAAAATATTAATATTAATATTTTTCCAAATTAATCGAATAATTCGAATAGAGAAAATTATTTAGTTGCATCTCATAGTAACAAGAAAATAGAAAATTGTTGCTTAATTTTTACTTTTTGGTCGGAAAATGTATGCAGTAGTTGGCAGTGTTTTAATCATTAAGATAAAAGACTGGGCAATTCATCTCGCTTGTCCTTACCGTCGGCATTTTGTCTCAGGTCTCGTAATTTTTGCGTGCACGCGCAAACACATAAAGCATATCCGGCTCATTAACAACACAAAGTCGATGGAAATTAAGCAAACGCTTAACCACCTATCGCTTTTCTTCGCCGCGCTTTCCACCACCGTACTCTCTTCTCTCTTTTGTTTTTATTTTCTCTCTCTTTCTCTCTTACTCTATTTTTCGCCACGCGTTTCAGTTTCTTCGTCTTTGTCGATTTGCTTAGTGCGCCTCTGCAAAAACGCCGGATAATCCTCGCCGCATGGTCGCCACATTGTGCAACCCACCACGCGACGCTGCATTATTTATACCTGGTCGCATAATAACGCCACGGATGATTTTAATGCGAACCTCTGCTCCCGGTCTTAACACTTTCCATCATAGGAGATGCATCGCAGAAGTTTTATAGATAAAAGAAATTTGCAGAAAAAAATATAATCAAGCACTATGTATATACAATATATTAAATATAAATTAGAAAATTGACAATTTTGCAAAGAATTGCATAATTGTGTTACGAATAATCGAACTATCACAAAGCTGTTGCTTAATCTCCAAAATATGAAAGAACGTGTAATATGATAATATGAAGACAAAACTGTGGAAAACTCAAAAACTTTAAAACC